CAGCTCGCGCACCAGGCACGACGGGCAGAGCGCCGAGCCATCCACCCCGTCCACCCGTGCGGCCAGCACGTGGCGTATGGAGCTTTGCCAGCTGGAACAGGAAGATAGGAGGATGCCACTAACTCATGAAAGAGAGAGAGGCTCTCTTTTTATTTGCCAAAGAAAGAATTTCCTTTCTAAACCTCATGATAAAGTCAAGGGCTCATCGACATTTCTGGCAGCGGCTACAATGTCTTAGAGGTCCGGAGTCCCTCGGCAGCTTCTCTGAGACTAGACCCGCTCAGGCGTGGACTTCTGTCCCCCGCACTCCTCCACCCGCGGGAGAGGCGGGGTGTGTGTGTGGCGTCAGTCCAGGCAGTTTCACTGATTTTTCTGCAAACAAGCAGGGGATATAGCGCAGTCAGTCCTCCCGAGAGGGGGCTGGTACTTTCGTTCTAAAGCTCTCGTTTCCTCGGGGAACAGAATTGCTAGACGCATGGGTGCGCTGTCTTTAGTCTTCCCCGCTCCCTCTGAGGGCCGGCAGGGGTTAAATCTCAGGCTCCGGCTCCGTGGGAGAAGGTGAGGCTGGGAGGTCCGAGGGGAGGGCGTGCCATCTGGGTGCCGGAGAGGTGTGGATGGAGGGGATCGTCTCCTCCCTGCTGGAGCCGCTTTGTTAGCGAGGAGGGGTGAGTGGGAAGTTTCTTGGACTTGACCGAAGCGGGGGTACGGTGGGGGGTGGTGGGGTGGTGGTGAAGGTCTTGTTTGGCCAAAAAAGACCCTCAAGGTTAGATAGATCTTGGATTTAGGGGAGGTTGCACAGCTGAGTGCATCGGTAGCGCCTCCCTATTTAGAAATCCACAACCCCACCCTCACCCCCACGAGACAAATGACACCCTTCAGCATGCAATGATTTTTTTGAAAGATCACAGGATGTGAGACAGCCTGGTCATGTCGGTGCTTTTTCACGTGCCCTGCCCCTTCCCTATTTGCAGTGAATGGTTTCTGTAATATTCCGAGAGGTGGAAAGAAAGTTCCTCCTCTCCCCCAGTTGACCGGGTTACCATAGACTGGGTTGGTGATCCTTGGTTTGTGGAGAAGGGACTCGGTCCCCTTGGGGATCCTGACACGTGGGAGGAGGCTCTGTTGCAATGACTTGTTCCGGTTCTTTCTGTAAAGTAAACACGTAAACGTAAACGAAAGCAAACATTTTCACCAAGGTAGCAACAATGAAAACCTTGCTGGGTGGGATACATTTCTCACGGCTTGCTTTATCTTGCTCAAAGATAAACCTCTTTTGGGACGACCGATTTCTCATGTCTTATGAAGTCCTGTCATTTCGACGCTGTACAGTAAGATGCAACAGTCAAATTTAAGACAGAATGTATTTCCTCCTTTTAATGTTCACGTGCTCAAGAAGTCGTTAGATCAGCGGTTCTCAACCTGTGGGTCGCGACCGCTTTGGGGGTCCAACGACCCTTTCACAGGGCTCGCCTAAGACCATCGGAAAACATATATAGTTACATATTGTTTTTGTGATTAATCACTATGCTTTAATTATGTTCAATTTGTAACAATGAAAATACATCCTGCATATCAGATATTTACATTACCGGCCTGCGGACTCAAGGGTCCCAGGTTCGATTCCGGTCAAGGGCATGTACCTTGGTTGCAGGCACATCCCCAGTAGGGAGTGTGCATTAAAGGGTCGGCATTAGAAAGGTTGAGAACCACTGCGCTAGATTGTTGCTAGGTGAAAATGATTTAGGAGGATTGTAAATCCATTCAATTAATGACACACTCAAGAGGGTTTTGTTTAAGACCCCTTCAAATTACTCAGTACGGGTCTCCTAATTCCCAGTAGGTTTGGGAATTTCTCAGAGCAAAGAGATGATATTGTATCATTAATTCACGTTGCATGATATCTTTATTTCTAGGAACCTATTGGAGAAATAAACATTGTTTTTAAGTCAAAGGAAAGAAAATAAACATTTAATTGAAATTATTTAACTTAAGTCCCCAGGGCGATCTTTGATACAAAGTGTCCTTTTTAAGCACTTACTCCTAGACTTTATTGGGGAAGAAGGGTTATTTGTTTCTCTGAGTTAAAGGTTAATTATGAATTAAATGATATCCTTGACCTTAACTAATGGAAAGGAGGAGAAAAGATGACATAAAGGGTGAGACAGAAACAGTTTCTCCGTGAGGGGAGTGCAGTCATTATTTTGTGTCAAGGCTCCACTCTTGGTAAGTGGCCACAGACATTTAGAAGCTTGGAAGGAAGTACGTAGTGCATTTAAAGGGTTGAAAAACACAAACGTATTCTAAGAAGCACATCTTTATAGTAAGCAGTTGGTAAGAGCTTCACCTTCTCACATATTTTTAACAAGTTCATTTGCTTTGTGAAACCACAAATTAAAAGGTGCCACTGCCTTTTACCTGTGTGACCAGTTACACCATACCACAACATTGCCATGCAATCCCTTTGCTAGTTCCTCATTTTAAAGTAATGTGGTCTGCCCTAGCTGGTTTGGCTCACTGGATAGAGCGTCGGCCTGCGGACTCAAGGGTCCCAGGTTCGATTCCGGTCAAGGGCATGTACCTTGGTTGCAGGCACATCCCCAGTAGGGAGTGTGCAGGAGGCAGCTGATCGATGCTTCTCTCTCATCGATGTTTCTAACTCTCTATCCCTCTCCCTTCCTCTCTGTAAAAAATCAATAAAATATGTTTAAAAAAAAATAAAGTAATGTGGACTGACTCATTAATCAGAAGACCATTTTTGCCAAACAGAATGATTAGGTAATTTACCACCCCTCCTTCCTGGCAACACGAGCATTATATTGGATTTCCTCTGTTCTCTAGTATTTGTTTCTAAGTGAATTTATTCAAATTGCAAAAGGTAGCAAATTGTTCCAGACAGTAATTACTCTAAAATATTTGCATTTCATTTGTTTTTGTTGGAGGTTTTACTTGTGCATGAAAGAAACAAATTTTTCTTATTTTGATAATAGTTAGTTGTCATTTAGTTATATCATCAAAGTAAAATTGATGTTTTTGGATCTACCCATTAATTTGTTTTAAATGTTTGACTGCTTAACTTTCATTAAGGTTAGTCAAGTATTATATAATGTAAACCTATCTTTTTTTTTTTTTAATTAATTTTATTGATTTTTTACAGAGAGGAAGGGAGAGAGATAGAGAGTTAGAAACATCGATGAGAGAGAAACATCGACCAGCTGCCTCCTGCACACCCCCTACTGGGGATGTGCCCGCAACCAAGGTACATGCCCTTGACCGGAATTGAACCTGGGACCTTTCAGTCCGCAGGCCGACACTCTATCCATTGAGCCAAACCGGTTTCGGCATGTAAACCTATCTGATAAGTTTTTTCTAGCAAACTCATTTTTAATTTCTAATATGAAAAGTTTATTGAATTTATTATTCTGTATTCTCAAACAACACTGAATGGTACAAAATAAAATCAAATTTTTACTTTCTGCTCTTGTTTTCATCACCTTTCTCAGAGACAACCATTCTTCTTATTATTTTTTTGATTGATTGAGTTATATTGATATACTTTATCATAATCCAGAATACTAAACTAATCCCTTGACAATTAGAAACTTATCTGATTCATCTAATAAATTTCTTTCAAGTGTATGTTTCATTATGCATATAATGAAAGGGTCATTATTGGGGAATACAAAATAGTGTTTTTCAAATAAAAGTTAGTTTTTATCTTTAAAGATGATTTATCTGTCTGTGAAAGTAAAACACAAAAGATGCTCATTAGTTTTACTTTTTGTTTCTCTGTAGTTATAGATACTCAGTATGTTTCCACTGACTGAGGAAAACAAGCATGTGGCCCAGTTGTTGTTCAATACTGGTACATGTCCAAGATGTATCTTCAGATTCTGTGGTGTGGATTTTCATGCACCTTACAAACTTTCTTACGAGGTATTTTCTTTCTTTTTTTTTTTAAGTTAAGAAATTTTCTCTAGTTTTAAAATAATACTTGTATATTTGAGGGCAAGTATCTATCCATAACTCTACGTTAAATTTAAAAACACTATAATAAAATAATTACTGGTAACTCTAATTTTAGAATTTACATTATCATAAAAATGTAAGTTTCTTTTTAAGTGATTAATCTAACATTTAATATAGTGGGATCTTTGTGGAGCAATTCCCTGGTGCATTTAATGTTTGTATAGACCCTTCCTAAAGAGTATCTAGACAGACTATCACAAAGTAGTGCTTCTTACCAGATATTAGGAAGTTTAACAGGAGGGAATGGTAGTCCTTAACTCTATTAAGTGAAAGCATTGTGGGTTCGGTTGCATTTTCTTTCTGTTTTCTATTTTATCATTTTATTTACAAATAGTATTTGCAACCCTCTAGAAAGAAATTCCATTAAAATCATTAATTATTTACTGCTATTAATAACAACAAAAGTAATACAGAGATCTTTGACATTTAATAGAATCCTTTCACATAAAATATATAACATTTTGTGAAATATATTTGATTCTAATAGTGATATTCTTTTCAGAGGCAGATAGTAATTATATATATGTAAATATATAACTATACAAACAGTATAAACAAACACACACACACACAGATTCATACACATGAACACTCAGTTTCTTATAATTTTAAAAAATTTCCCAGGAGTTAGCAATAGCAGTCATTTTTCCTATGTATTAATTGTTTCTATTATTTTAAAATAATAATTATATCTAATATTCATATAGCATTATTATATTTCAACCTTCATGTAACTCTCATAGTAACCTATTAGGTAAGTACATACTATGATTGTCTCTATTTTCAGATGAAGAACTGAGGCACAGAGAGGTTAAGCAACCTGCCCAAAGTTACACAGCTATTAAGTGAGCAAGCTAGGATATGAACTGTCTGTCTGAACCCAAAGCCTAGAATTTGGAGCTGAAAGACATGGATTTGAATCCCAGTTCCACAACTTTCCATCTTCAGTTTTCTCCTCTGTAATTGGGAATGATGATAACATCCACCTCACAGGATTTTAAGGGACAATATCTAATAAAGTATGTGAAAGCACTTTGAAAACTGGAAATGGTACATATGCTATGATGATTAATATATGTGTATATTTATTTATACACACAATGACTATAAAGTAACAAAACTGGTTTTGTGTAACTTCTCTTACACATTTTAAAAGACATTATAATCTAGTATGCTATGCATATGTTGTTAAGATTTAAAACATACTAAAAAACTTAGTGTTACTAACTTTTGTTTGTATCATTTTGTGTAAATATGTAAATATTTGAAGACTTTTTAAAAAAAATGTATTTAAATTTTGACCTGTTCTATTCATATAATTATATATGTACATATACATATATATATGTACTGTGTTATACCAACATTGTAGATCTTAGGTAATAATAAACATTTGTGTGGGTCATAATAAACCTGTATGTGTATGTATGTATGAGTATTTCTCTGTTGATAAAATAGGAGAGTTAATGTCTTAATAAAATGAATTAAATTTGTTTGAGTGAAAAACTTTTCCCTTTACAGTCAGTAAATTGTAATCTGAGTGAATTTAAAAGGATATTTATTCAACAACTGAAAAATAAAGCCTGTTTAATTTAAACAAAATAGAGGAAAAAGTCTTCTGAGTATTTGGATGAGTAGAATGTCTGAAATATGAGAATGGTTTCAAAGGAATGCCACTTTTAACATTCTAATTCAAAAGGTAACAAAAAGTAGGCAAACCAGAATGTAGTAGAGGGCCGCTTTCAATTAGCACATATAAATGGTTTGTAATTATGCTGCCAAATCTCAGCATTTCCAGCATCTGTTTACCTTTATTTAGTAAATTGTCTTGAACTTACTTTTACTTAATAGACCCCTAATTTCTCTCTAATTTTTCAGACTTCATATTAAATATTATACATATGACGTTTTAGTGATTGTGAGGTTATTACATAACCAATAATGGAAAGCAATAATGGAAAGTCCGTTTGTATTTCTATTTGTTAACAATTGGAAATGAAAAGTGGTTTCTTTTTTCTTTTTTCTTTTTTTTTTAATTAGCAAGTGAATGAGTGAATGACCCCACAACAGAACTACAAGCCCAGTGAACTAATTAATTAGTTAATATCTTAATGGAGACTTTCTGCCTCAGATTTAGCTTCTCTGATATATGAAACTCTTTTGAAAAAATATTCACACATTTATCATAGAAGTTAGTTAAGCCTCTTTTAAATTCCCCAGAAAGCCAATGCTGGCTAATAAAATTAATTCATTGCTCTAGATTGAATATAAGTCAACATTGGGCAAGTTTGTGATATATCATAATATTCACTCCTGTTTTCATGCTTCATCTTACCCTTAGAGTTATTACTTTTATTGTGTTTTGTTAAAAATTAACTTTCTAGGAGTTGCTCAATGAACTACAGAAATTTCTGAAAACTGAAAAAGGTGAATTAATTTTGGAAGTTCCAAACCCACCTCCCAAGAAAATTCGACTCCATGAACTGGAAGATGGGATTGATGGGACTGATAATCAGAGTCAAAATGGAGAGGGAAGGGTGTCCGTTATTGAAGACGGAAGCATTGCTTCTAAGAACTCCAGTCCAAATGTATGCAATGTATGCCTAGGAATTCTTCAGGAATTCTGTGATAAAGAGTTCATTAAAAAGGTAAATAATCTGTCTTCTGTTATTATATGTGCACTTATATAGAGATCTTTAGTTTTAAACCTAGAATTCTTTTTTTTTATTGATTTTAGAGAGATAGGAAGGGAAAGAGAAAGAGAGAGAGAGACATCAATGTGAGAGAGATTCATTGATTAATTGCCTCACCTATGTACCCTGACTGGGAATCAAACCCTCAACCTTTTGGTGTACGGGATGACACTCCAATCAACTGAGCCACCTGGCCAGAGCAGACCTGGAATTCTTGTATCTACAGGAACAATGCCATTCATTTCAACGTGTTTCACACCAATGTATTATTAAAACATTTCCTTAATTTATTTCAAATAATGAACACCTTTTTATCTAAAATTACCTTTTAATCAACATGATATCTGAAAATGAAATATATATCCCTTTATGTATGTCAGTCATGAGTGCTATTCAATTGAAAAAAATAAATAGCAGTTTTCCCTTTGCTATTTTAACATAAGAAGCTAGAGAAAAGTTCTTTGTTAGTCATACCTATTAGTGTCTAGAAAAGTGTTACAGCCTTGTGGGAGGTGCATGTTTGAATGTAGGACTGGCTTTTGTTCCCAGCTGTCAAGAGTGCCATATTTGGCTTTACTTTGTTTAAAATCTTTTTTAAATGATGAGGTAACCTAATAGAAAACTATTTTGACATTCAGCAGATTGTTCTGCAGGAGAGTCCTTGCTGTTTCGGTGTTGTCAGTCTTCAGGGTCATAGTTAGCAAATATTTGATTTCATGATGTTTGTGAGAATTCCCTACTCAAAGGTGAAAGTTTAGAAGTTTTGCAGTGTCATTTCCTGGACCAAAAATCTATGTTATGAAGATTAGTATACAATTTTTAACACTACTCTTCTATGTAATAAAGTAATTTTTATGTAATACTTTTTCAGGTGTGCCAGAAGGTAGAGGCCTCTGGATTTGAATTCACTAACTTAGTGTTTTCAGTCTCCTTCCCACCACAGCTATCTGTAAGAGAGGTAAGGTCATTTATACACACGAAACTGCATGTGAAATGCATGCTAGGAGTTTCTCAAAAAATATGAATGTAGAAATATTCCTTACCATATTACATTTTGTACATTTTGTGTACTTATTGAATGATTGAAACCATTACATTATTATAGCTGTTTAATAATATTGAGTGAATGGATGAAAAAAGGAATTATTGGTTCAGATTCGTGTATTTGTCACAGAACTGCCATTTTTTTGTTTTTATTTTTATTTAATTTTAAAAATATGTTTTTATTGATTTCAGAGAGAGAAAAGAAGAGGGAGAGATAGAAACATTCCATTGACTGCCTCCTGCACAACACCTACTAGGGATTGAGCAAACTGGGCATGTGCCCTGTCTAGGAATCGAACCTGGGACCTGGTGCATAGGACCACCCTCAACCAACTTAGTGACACTGGGCAGGCAGGACTGCTATCTTTTTAAAAGGTCCTCATTCAGCCCTCGCTGGTTTGGCTCAGTGGATAGAGCGTCAGCCTGCGGACTGAAGGGTCTGGGTTCAATTCCAGTCAAGGGCACATGCTCGATTATAAGCAAAGCCCTTATTCAGTAGAAGACATTGAGTTTTAGTTCTGTGGTCAGAGAAAGATAATTGACCAGGAATCCAGAGACTTAAGTGAGTGTGTGTGTGTGTGTGTGTGTGTGTGTGAAGTGTGCATTTTATAATGGTCCTAGGATAGGGTTATTTCAATTATGATGAACTTTCTTATTTTCTGATAAAAAATGGTAGCACCTCTTTTAGTCAATGGTAAAAAGGGAAATAACCATATTTCATTTAACATTTTTCCTTTGTTAGGGAAAAACTCACATAATAATAGTAGTAATTACTGTAATATTCTTGTGTGTCAAAACTGACATGAAAACATAAAACTATTTTTGTTAATACTGTTATATGAAGTATAGGGAGAATGGCCTCTGTAATCTCAAATTATAACAATGAGTTCTAAACATATCCATTTATTTTATGTATAAGGTGTCTTTTTGTTAAGAATCCCAAAGCATCACCAGAACATTACATCTTATACTGTCACTTTCTTTGGGTGAGAATGTTTATTAGCCCCTAAAAGGCTGAAAATTGATTTAAAATTTGTTCAATGATAGGTAGGAGCTGAGACGTGAAAGAGTAGATGCTTTTAAGTAGTACCTCTGTTGATGACAAGATAACTGAGAAAATGGAAGGATAAAGGGGATGATGATATACTGAGGTTTATAAACACTTAAAGTCATTTTCTAGTCAATCATCAAAGCATTTCTCACAGATAGGTTATCTCCAAGGTTCAGTTTTGGTAGAGAGAAACAGACTTCAAAAGCTATATGACTCACAAGAAGTTGGAGTATTTGAGTAACAAAAATAGGAATAAGAAATACAGTTGACCCTTGAACAACAAAGGTTTGAACTGCGTGGGCCCACTTATACAAAGGTTTTGTTATTTGTTTGTTTTTTAGAGAGAGAGGGAAGGAGGAAGGATGGAGGGGCGAACCCGCAACCCGGGTATGTGCCCTTGACCGGGAATCGAATTCAAGACTCTTTGGTGTGCAGGCTGATGCTCTAACCGTTGAGCCACTCTGGCCAGGTCTGCACAGGTTTTTTCAATAAATACTGTAAATATATTTTCTTTAAATTTTTTTTCATTGACTTCAGAAAGGAAAGGAGAGGGAAAGAGAAATAGAAACATCAGTGATGAAAGAGAATCATTATTGGCTGCCTCCTGCATGCCCCTACTGGAGTTGGAGCCCGAAACTTGGGCATGTGCCCTGACTGGAATCGAATCATGTCCTCCTGGTTCATAGGTTGATACTCAACCATTGAGCCACACCCAGCCAGGGATTTTAACAATTTTGATTTAATATTTATTGACTACTTATGAAGTATTTATAGTCCATGTCAGAAATAGAAGATGCCATTTAAAAAAATAGAATTATTCTGCTTACACTCTATTTACTATTTGTAAGTGATTTTAACCACTAAGCTATTTAGCAGAAATATGTGACTATTCCTATTATTGGGGAATTATTACTTTCCACAGATTAGTGTGTTGTGACTCATTGTTTTCTTTTTTGTTAATGAGTAGTCTATTTTTCCTCACTCATTTCTTAAGAATAATCATTATTCAAAAGTATGCAATTTTATATGCATCTCACTATTTTCACAACCAAGAGTTCTTTAGCAAATTGTGCTTATGTTTCACTTTGTGATTTTCTTTTATCATTATGTTTTGTTAGTTTCCTTTATTGCTGTCTTTTATTACTTCTTTGGTGTTGAGGTATGTTCTGGGCCAGACTGGATATAAATTGCTTTTTCATACCAACTTATTTGTTACACATTCCAATTTTTAAAAAGTATACATCTTCAGACTATTCTTGCATTTTGAATATAAATTCTGTAACTTCTTCAGTGACATATTTCTTCTACAATGTGGTTTTTTCAATTTAGATCTTTAAAACTTTGAACTTATTTGTCTGTGTGTAGAATAAACATTACTATACATGGAATTGATTGGTGTTAGTTATTTCATAATTCAGCGTAGAATATACAATTAAGTAAATTTTTCCCACTTCTAAAGAAGAAAATTATGATTACAAATATATTGATTTGAAAGCAAATATTTTATCAACAAGGTAATATTTGTTATATTCCTGCTTACAAAAGAACCAAGGGAAGGGATGACCTCAAGTAAAGGATTTTTTAAAAAATCAAGCTATTAAATTTGTGTTAATTTCTATATTCCTGGACCTCCCAATGCCTTTCTGGCTACAGCTGTAGTTTTTACTTATCATCATAGAAGCACTAATTTAAGAGCCTAGGAAGAAAGCATGCAGTTAGTATAATTATCATCATCTTTCATTGAGTTTAGGAGAATGGAAGGAGGGATGGAGTACTTCTCCTGTGGGTGTGTTCCTAGGAACCAGCTGGTCTGGTTAGGACAGTTTTAGGCTAAATACTACTGAAGAGGAGAAAAACAAGCAGATTAATTGATGAAACTATGTTAGACATACAGTAAGGCATGGTAAGCAGAAATAAATGGAGGCAGTATCGAGAGATTCACAAAAGACAGATATGGAAACTAGCTTGATGTTATACTTAGGAGCTTCAGTACCTTCTACAAAAGGTATTTGTATAATACCTTTATACAAAATATGAATGACAATATAAAGTTGAGATGATAAGGGAGAAGAATAAATATCTTATGACTGTTTTGGTGACTTTCTGGATTTTGGCTTACCATTTGAATGTAGCAATTCAAATATCTTAAAGGGAGAGATATAATAGTGTGCTATGCCAAGAAATTACATCTCCATTGAGATCTTTTGAGTGGAAGGATGCTAAACACTATTTAGAGGAGAATTTAAAGCAAGAGAGAAATGGGATAGATACAGAAGTGAAAGTGTGCTGTATGCTCATTGGCCTAAGGAAGAGGTGATGAGTTGCATACATAAAATAGGCACACAGGTTAATGTATACAGTAGCATGAGGAACTCCCAGTATTTAGGCACTTGATGGAAATCACGTTTGCTAAAAGCACAGCGTCTGACAGCTTTTGAATGGGAACAGTTACTTCTCCTAAAATAGTGGTTCTCAAACTTTAATGTGATAGGACTCATTTGGAGAGTTTTCCAGGCCCCATCTCCAGGTATTCTGATACAACAGGTCAGTGGGACCCATGACTCTGGTTCCTAAAAAGTTCATGGATGATGTTGCTGTTGCTGGTACAAGAACCACAGTTTGAGAACCACTTTCCTAAAGAATAATGGTGAAACTAATGTAGTCCTAAATGAAAATGGACAACCTTTTAAGATTTGTGTTCCTGATAGGAAGAGAGAAACAAACATAATTAGAGTATATCCTAGACTTGCTAGATGGATTTCAAGCAGTCGAAGAAAAATGGCATGGGAATCTTGCCTGGAAGATAAATGAAAAGGAATGGGAGGTGCAGAGGAAGTGCAATTGAGACTTTAATTAAAACCAAATTATCCCAACCAATAAAAGGAAGTTTAGGGATAAAAACATATTCCAGTAAAAAAAGAAATGGGGAATACCTCCCTTTTTTTTTCTTTCTCTCCCTCTCCCCCTTCCCTCAAATGTTTACATAAACATTTGTATTTATATATTTAGATATATTTATTTGACTTTTTATTTTGGAAAATTTCAAAAGTAGTAAGACCTGCCTAATAACCCCTATGTATGTATTATTCAATTCCAACAGCTAAATTTTTTGCCAATTCAGGATCAGTTTCAAAAAGAGAGAGGAAAGGTGAAGTCAAATTAATGCAAATGTAAGAAGAGGTTTAGATTTCTAAGAATAGCAACTAAAAGATAAAATCTCCCCGAGTAGAGACTTCCAAGAATTGCTAAGGAAGACTTGGGGTACTCAAAGTTATGTTTAGAGCAAGAAAGGGATGAAAAGGGGATTGATTTGCTGTTAGGAACTGAAGGTATGCTGCTGATGGATGACATAGAGAAGGCAGAACTCTGAACATCCTATTTTGCTTCTGTCCTTTCTGTCAAGAAAAATCTTCCTCTGAAAAGCGTAGCATGATCATTGGTAGGGAAGAATGAAAACTCCAATGGCGAAGCTTCTCTAAATGGGTTCAGGTATTTGAGCCTGGATGAATTACATTCCAAGATAGATTCAGAAAGAACTTACAGCGGTCCATGATCTTTGAGAGCTCTTCAAAGATAACAGATTTTCCAAATGACTGGAGGCAGGTAAGGGCAGTTTCAATTTTCCAAAGGTGAAGAAAGGTGGTTCTGTTAAGTACTAGCTGGTGAGCTTGATCCTAAAACCCTGGCAAGATTCTAGATCAGGAACTAAAGAATAAATGATGGGCACTGAGAAATAAGGCAAACTTGATGTCAACACATCAAACAGGTCTGCTAAGAACAAATCAAGTCTGCAACATTTCTGCCTTTACAGGTAGCAGGACTGGTAGAGCAGGGAAATACAGTAGCACTGGTGTGATTGGAAT